TGCTAATCGGGTTTTGCATACTACTTAACGGGTTTTCGAAACTTTTTCTCGGAAACTCAAAGGTTTTCGCAACATTCGGAAACCCTAAGGGGTTTTCCAGTTATGTTCGGAAACCTTGCTAGATTTCTGGAAAACGCTTCGACCGTTTCCGATGCCGGGAAACCCAAACGGGTTTTCGATAAAAACATATCGAAAACCCAAAGGCATGCGAGGATTCGCAATGGGTATCCGAAAAGGTTTTCGAAGCAAAAGCGGTTTCCGAGAATACGGTTGAAGGTTTCCGAATCCGCTCTCTCCAAAATCCATTGGTTTCCGGATGCTCGGAAACCCTCAAGGTATTGTCAGAAACTCAACATAAGTTCGGAAACCCTTCCGGAAACCTAAAAAGGTTTGCGAAAAGGTTTCCGAAGGCGTATCGGTTTCCGAGGAAACCTTTTTTTTTTAGAGTGTATGCTGGCCTCACTTTTAAGACTTGGGTATCCTTAGCAACCAAACTACACAAGGCTTTCTATCATTGAAAACGTTTCAGTTACTTTTGTTTAAAGTAAAGTATACGGCATATCACTCTCAGCTCATCCTTGTTCGACTTATAGAGTGTAATCGAGTGCCCATGTGGTTGATTCAGAACTAGCTTTTTTGCTCCTCATGAATGAGGCCTGTCATATAATTGCACGAAAGAGCATCAGCGTGGTTTTTTCGAGTGACAAATAATATCGAAAAGTAACAAATGTTACGAGATCTTTACTAATTTTTGCCTCGGAATACAATCTCATTTTTTCAGAACGGAGCCAGCGAATCTGTTGATGAGCACTACTTGTAGTATTTCTACCAAAAAAGCTCAGAAGGATCGAAATAATTCCACTCGAAAAGAATGTAGTCGGTGAGGGAAAAGTGTGTGAGGTTTTGGATTACTTAGTACCTGCACAGGAGCCCAATCCAATTCGCCAAAATTCTGGCTGAATGTGATCAGATCGTCATCTGTGAGATGTTGTTCTCGAAAAAGAAGCACGGAGTGTTGCAACCAGGCCTCGTACACTTGAGAAAACATGCACGCGTCTATCTCACGTGACAAATCGACACCCCGAATCTCAGCACCCAGCCCACCAGAGATCGGCACGACCACGATCGTCGCGCTCGCACGGTTTGACACTTGTAAGTCCATCATCAGAAATCTTTATATCCTTTACGAATCTTAGTCGACTGCTTGTATTCACTTTCACCTGTAGTTCGAATGGAATAAGTGTCTGAAGTAACATAGTTTATTTATGACTATTATGACAGTGCTCTCTCGCATACGTTCTTATCTATCAACTGTAGAAGGTAGAAAAGCAAGAGAAGACTATCTAATGGTAGACTTCCATTTTCTTTTTATTTTCAAAGAGAGTATTTGATGTCAAACTCATTTTTTGGGCTGTGGGCGTAAATGTTGCTGGGAGTGTGAGTATTGCTGTATTCTTAATCTTCAAAAGCCACACCGAGGGGGTGACTATGTGAGTGGGTGTGATGTATGGGTGTGTGGATTGGGTGTAGGTGTGCGTGTGGAGTATGGGTGTGAGTAAAGAGAAGAGCAGCACCCACACGTATCCTGTGAAAGTTAGTCAATGATGAATCGAGGTAAGTCCAGTCATTTTTGAATAAATTTTATCTCATATATTCCTGTGTTGCTCATTCCTGTAATTGATTTCTGATTTTGTTCGCGTGATGGACCACATAAAAACAAAAATTATTAGCTGACTCTTTTCTAATAATGTCTAGCTGAGAAAATATTAGTTATAAAAGTAGAGAAAATAGACACATTTAAAACCAACAATAGTATAATTGTACATTTGAGTGGACGAACTATTTTTTTGAAAACTCAAGATTTATTATTGTAGCTTGGCTTGAGATTTGTCGAAGTATTTCAGTATTGAGTTGAGATAAATTGACTTTTTACCTCATAGAATTCACATCTAATAGGCATAACGCTGACTTGCTCATCTCAGTTAAGTAGTTAAGCTGATGTATACATTATTGTTCAGCATTGAGTGTGGGTGTGAAGACAAGAACGATACCAGTACCCACACACACACCTACATCCACACCCACATCACACACACTCACACTCACACTCACACTCACACCCACACCCACGCCCCATATCCATATCCACACCTCACACCCACCCACCCACCCACCCACACCCTTATTTCTCTTCTATTTTTCAATTGAAATTTTTGTTTATTTAGTTTTTCTACTAGTGAAAAATATTTTTTATTTGAAAAATATTAGATCATTCAAATATGGTTAGACAATAAAAAAAATCAATTTGAACTAATATTAATTTATAATAAAATTCAATTCTTTTTTGTTTTTTTATTAAGCTATCGTGGTTATCTGATCGGAAATTTCTGAAAAATCTTTTACGTATTCATTCAAAAGTTTCTTTTATAGTTTTGTGTTTCAGATATGGATAAATATTCATAGCTCAAAACAATCCATGAATTTTACTCTAATTTTTACGAACAATACCGGGAACAACTTATCGTAATATTTGACTATATCGTGCTTTAAAAGATGTTTTCGCTTATAAATCAAAACAGTAGTTAGAATGTCCGCTTGTCTCTCTCCCCCTCTCGTGAGAAGAGTGTATATAGTTAAGTATATGACGCTTTGGACGAGTGAATAATATATCTCTTTATTGAAAAAACACGAAGTATATATAGGAAGAGAAGATTGGACTAGTCAGGGAAGAAGTTGAGAGTTTCTTCGTCTGATTGAAAATGAACAACAAGTAGAGTTACAACAAAAGACGTCAGTGAAGAAGAATAGGTCAGACGGGTAAGAACATATAGTAACAAAAAAGAAATATAAAATCATCCATATATCCTAACAACAGTGTGTAAGAAATTAGCTTTATTTTATTTTATGAAGTTTTTTTAAGCTTTCGAACTGCTTCTTATACACCAAGAACCAAGATAATGAGATACTAGTTGATTATGAAATAAATAATTTTCGTTTAATGCTGGCGTTTTATAAAGAAAATGACTGTTTTTTTCATGATAAAAATAAAAGTACGAACATCCTTTAAAAAAAATTTATTAATCTTTTGTGTTTTTATTTGTTTGAAATAAAAAAGATGATATTATTCGAAACAAGAATGGATATGTTATCTTGATGTTTAAACTAGGGTGTGAGTGTGGTTCTTTAATGTGATGATGGGCGTGCTTTTCAAGACACCCACAAACCTATGTCTACATCCACATCTATACACCAACACTCACACCTATCCTCTTTTTAAATATTAATTGTTGCAATAAACAAATAATATCTAGAATAAGAAAAAAAAAATTAATAACAGTACTCTTTAATTGTATCTTGACAATGAGGATTTATTTTGTTGGTTATTAATTAGGACAGTAGAAAACAATCAACTTAAGAATAAAAAAAGATAATAAAAAAAAACAACTCGATCAACAGATCAAACATCGAGTGCAGTAGCAAGTGACAATTTGAAATCTGGCATATGAATGATTATTTGAGAAAAACAAGGAAAGACAAGGCTTCGAGAAAAAGTTTTTTGAAGGATCGTCTTTAAAAAAGGAGAAGGAAAGAAGGGTGTTATTTTTGTTGTAAAAAAAGGCTTTTTAACGTATCGAATGCAGTAGCATGGTTGCACATAATGAAACAAAGAGCTCATTAGAACTTTTAAAGGTTTATACGTAGTTTTTCACCGAAGAGCAAAACCAAATAGTAACATGTGCCAAGAAAGTAGTTTATCCAATCAGACAGCCATGCTGAAAAAGACAAAACTACATTCGGACGCGTATAATATATTGATTTATTTGTACGACTTCGTTTCTATGAACATATACATCAACAAAATTAAGTTTACTTAGTGATTCTGACGTTTTGAATTAGAAACTTCGTATAAGTTTAACGATTCACAAAAATGTTGTCTCGTGAATTGTGAAGATGCATCAAAACGATGTTTTCTATTAGAAACGCATATACGTAAATAGCGCATGATATAGCACTAAAATTTCTTTTAGTGCATTTTCACTATTAAAAGGCAACGTTTTTTACATTAACATGTTAAAATTTATATCGATTTTTACGCAGGAATACAAATAATGAGCTAGGCTTGGTCTATTTTTTGCGGTCGTTGCTTGTGAGAGACCTAAGTTTCATGCCTGATACATTGTTCATTTAGAAGCTGCAAATTTCTAATCTCAACAGCACTGTCTCATTGTACAAAGATGCCTGTGTTCTTTCAGCAAAACACAATAATTCTATTAGAATACACTACAAGTATCCTATCATAGAGTCGACTGAAATAGTAACAGGAGCTTGACGAAAAATAGTCAAATCCGCTTGAATTAGGATTGTAAGAGTCAACTTTTGTGCATTCATCGAATAGATTATTGCACAAATAGAGTTGATATTTTGAACGGAATTAATTGATATTCTGTTCATGTTTTCTATAGTCAGATCAGGAAAAAATCTAACGGTCAACCGAATTAAACACAGTTCTATTGACTAATAAAAAATTTTTACAGGTTCATCTATCAGATATTTTGATTTTGTGTTTTTTAAACATGTATTTGCATTTCTCACAACTTCTATGTTGATAAAAAGATATAATCTTTATCAAAATCATATTATCAATTTATTTATCTGTAAAATCGCATTAAGCTACAGAACCGTCGATAAACTGCTATTTATCAGCGACATCTATATAAAAGTGACGTCATGGATACACAAATGTCTGTAAAACGCTAATACAGAACGCCCTCTTTTCTATTGCAGAGGTTAACTTTTGATTGGTTTTAGATTAACGTTCAATAATTTGAGTAGAAAAAATTTAGATCTGTTATTTTATTATCAGTTATCCCTAGTAAAAAAAACTGAAAAAGAAAAACAATTCGATGCTGAAGAAATTGTTAAATCATCGTTTGATATCTCGAATAGTTTTTGTCAGACATTCAGTGACTATTCCATCTGATTCTGATTTGGGTATTCAAATGAAATTGTTCAACGATAAGAAACAATTTAAAAAAACACTTGAATTATTTGATACATACAAGGAAAAAAATAATCAAATACTTTCTGGTTTTATTATTACTCAAGCGTTGAAAGCATGTGCTCAAATTGGAGATCTTCAACGTGGTTCAACTATTCATTATCTTATTTCATCGCGTATAAAAGATAATTCTTACATATTAACATCATTAATTCATCTTTATAGTAAGTTTTAATGAGAAAATTTTATTCTGATTTTTTTTTCTCATGATTAAAGTGCAATGTGGTGATGTGACTCGTGCTCAGTTATTATTCGATTCAGCATCAAAGAAAATCTTACAAATGTATGGAGCAATGATGAAAGGTTATATAAAAAACAATATGACAAATAAAGCGATTGATTTGTTCAATGAAATTAAGAATCCTGATGAAGTTAGTATTATCATTTTGTTTAATGCTTGTGCTCAATTGCGAACTAATGAAGCATTAAGTTTAACAAATAAAGTCTCATCACAAATTCCAAAATCTTTTTATTCAAATCTTCGTCTTTTGACTTCTCTATTGGATGCTTTGATGCAATCTGGTGATGTCGCACATGCTCAATCATTGTTTGATGCATCAACAAAGAAAATATTATCAATGTATGGAGCGATGATGAAAGGTACGAATTATCTCTCTCTCTCGATTTATCAGTATGTTGAATCAAAGTTTTTTTTTTCAGGTTATATTAAAAATAAAATGGCAAATAAAGCGATTGATTTGTTCAATGAAATAAAGAATCCTGATGAAATTGTTACAAATCTCTTATTCAATGCTTGTGCTACATTAAAAACTAGTGAAGCATTAAATTTAACAAAAAAAATCTCATCGCAAATGCCAAAATCTTTTTATTCAAATCTTCGTCTTTTAACTTCTCTATTAGATGCATTGATTAAATGTGGTGATGTAATACATGCTGAATTATTATTCGATACATCAACAAAGAAAATTTTACCAATGTATGGAGCAATGATGAAAGGTAACAATTATTTATCATTATGTTTGATCAAAATGTTTTTTTTTCTTCTTAGGTTATATTAAAAATAATATGGCAAATAAAGCGATTGATTTGTTCAATGAAATTCAAAATCCAAATGATGAAGTTATCATAATACTTTTGTTTAATGCTTGTGCTCAATTAGGAACTAATGAAGCATTAAGTTTAATAAAAAAAGTATCATCACAAATTCCAATATCATTTCATTCAAATTATCATCTTTCAACTTCTCTATTGGATGCATTGATTCAATGTGGAGATTGTTCAAATGCAGAAATTTTCTTTTCAAAAATGAAAAAATCTGTAATAGGTTATGGAAATTTAATGAATGGTTTTCTTAAAGCAAATAATCCTGTCAAAGTATTAAGTTTATTTGATCAAATGAAAATCAATGGTATTGAACCAGATTTAATTATTTATTTTTATATAATCAAAGCATTATCTCAAATTGGTGATTATTCATTAGCTCAATTGATTGTTGAAAAAATTCCAAATTGTTTTCTTGTTAATGATAGAGTTCAAAATGCCTTAATCGATATGTGGGTAAGTTTTCAAGAGATTTGACTTTTCTTTTTAAAATATTAATTTAGGGTAAAACTGGATGTGTCGATCGTGCAAAAGAAATTTTCGAAAAAATTCTTGAACCAAATCAAACCGAATACGGATCGATGAGTTTGTTTTACTTTGAAAACAACAGAAAAAAAGAAAGATTCGTTTGTTTATTGATTATTAGTTAATTCTTACGGTTTAAATGGAATGGGTATTCAAGCAGTTGAACTTTACCGTCAAATGTCATCAGAATTTAGGAATGAATCAAATTATGTTTGTATTCTAAACGCATGTTCACATTCAGGACTTGTTGATCAAGCTCGTTCAATCTTTTCAAATATTCAAATTAAAACAGAGAAAATTTATACTACTATGGTATGTTACTTACTGTTTTTTGCTTTCTTCTTAAATTTGAACAAATTCAATTGATTCATTTTTATTAGATTGATTGTCTTAGTCGTGCATCAATTTTTGAAGAAGCACAAAAATTAATTGATGAATTTGAACGTGATCATTCACCTGTATTGCCTATGTATAGTCAGTATTATTAAAATATTTTTCAACTTATCTGATAGATCTTTCGATTTACTATTAAATTTGTTTTCATCTCTATCAATTGACAGATTGTACAGTTGAGAATTGAACATTTTCTATCGATTTTTCATTTGAGAAATATTCTCATTTTTGCTTTAAATAAAATCTAAATGAAGTGTAAGAACAGTTAAATCATCATACAGGCCTTTATAATATACAGCAATCTTTCTATGTAATAAACTAGATATCCGAAGGCTAGATTTCATTATGAAAAAATGTCAGAACAAATTTGTTTTATCCAAGATTTTGAATTAATCATTGGAATGGTCCAGTAAAAGCTTTCTTTTCCTAACATCAACTAGTTAAATTTTCGAGATATTTAGAAATTTCGTTCTTTCTATTAGCTTTATTTTTGACAAAAAGAAACAAGATTTTCGTGAAAGATAAAACACATTAGATTTTGTTATACGAAAAGATCACAGTTTATGATAAAATTGTTCTATGTAATTGAACTTTTCTAATTCATCTACTATACAAGTAACGTTCATCGACATCAATGGTCGATTCACTGGGCGCTAGACTGACAGAAGCATGACAGACAGACGTTCGTATTTTTGTGGTCATTTGTGCCATAAAAATGGTCACTTGTGCCATGGAAATGGTCTATTGTGCCATAGAAATGGTTATTTGTACCAAAAAAATGGTGATTTGTGCCATGGAAACGGTCGTTGGTGCCATAAAAATGGTTATTTGTGCCGTGGAAATTGTCACTTGTGCCATTGAAATGGTCATTTGTCCCATATAAATGGTCATTTGAGCCATAAAAGTGGTCATTAGTGCCATAGAAACGGCCATTTGTGCCATGGAAATGGTCATTTGTGCCAAGCGCTTGTTACAAACAGACAGACACAGGTGAATTCCGGTTTCTAGACCCTAGCCTTTCAGCTTAGGGAATTTTAATTTTTCCATATAACGATATGATCTTTTCTAAAACATATTCCTTACAAATATATAATAAGTTCATTTTTTTCAAATGAAGGATCGACAGAAAATATTTGTCTCTTAGCTCAAATATCTATCAATAAATGAATATAAAAATGAAAAATATTTGTTCTCGATTTCATTTTTGAATGAGTAGTAGTGATGATTAAAAAGAAATAAAAATGAAAGCTTGTTGTGAAAAACTCAATTCTGTTTATTTGTTTTTATTCTAGGGGCATTATTATCAGGTGCTCGAAATAATAGGAATATTCATTTATCTCAAAGAATTTTTGATCGTATGAAGAAACTTTTTCGTGAATTAACCAACCCATTGACATCAGCTGCGATTCTTCTTGCTAATGTTTATGCATCATCAGGTGAAATTGAAAAGGCATTAGATATTAGAATTCAATTGACTCAATCAGGTGCAAAGAAAAAAGCTGGTCTTTCTTGGACTGTAGTCAATGGACAACTCTTTGTAATTCTACAGCTATAATTGTTTCTTACATAAATACTATAAAATGATTTTGTTTTTGTGTTCTTAGCAATTTCGAGCTCATGATCGATCTCATCCTCGTTCATCTGAAATCTATGCTGAACTTGAGAAAATATCAAAGGAACTTATTGAACATGGTCACGAATACGATTCAAGTTGGATCACACGATTCTTGGATCAGGATGAATCTGTTGAATCAGTGCTTTGTGGACATAGTGAAAAACTTGCAATTGCATGGAATTTTGTTGTAAATCCCCATGCAACACGAATTCAAATGACTAAGAATCTTCGTGTTTGTGGTGATTGTCGTCAGTGATCTTCTCAATCATTCTTTCTATGTTTTGTTTAATTTTTCTTCATAGATCAAGCGACAAAATTAATAGCTGCTATTCGTCAATGTGAAATCATCGTTCGTGATGCAAATCGAATACATCACTTCTATACAAATGGACAATGTTCATGCAACGATTATTTCTGAAACAAAAACTAAACTCTTTTGTCTATGTTAATGTTTCATTTAAGTAAAACTTTAGATAAAATAAAGAAAATTAATAATTTCTTTTATAAGTAAATATACAATCAAAAGGGGATAAAAGATATGGTGTAACATAAGGAGGAAACAAAAAAAGGGTCAATGTTGAGCGTGGCGTGTTTTCTTTTCTGCATTTTTCTATCAAAATAGTTAGTTCAATCTTACAAAGAAAATATAATCGATGGTAAAATAAATAATTTAGTTTTCATCAAACATCATCTCGTCTTCAATCTAAATACAAATAAGGTTTTAAATTAAAAGAAATATTTTACTTTCAGTCTTATGCCAATGAATAAAAGACGTAAAGAACGTTAGCAGCGGACTCGAGCTTTTATTACTGACATTCTAATTGTTTGTGAGGGATGCAGAATTTCATTCTCTATCGAATGATGATGTTTCCGAGAGGTGTCATCGAGAAAAAAGTAAGGGTTTCGATCGAAAAACCACACTTATGATTCCTTCTACAGGTATATTGTACGATGTATGTAAAAGCATTCGAAAACTTTGTTGATCCTCAATGGTACTTATGGAACTGTTTGGAGTTCTATCAATTATACTTTCAGTCCAAATTTTATATCATGCAGAATATAATGAGATTTACGTGAGTGAAATCAGTACAAATGAATCTTCTCGATGAACTGTTTCATAAAGTGATTGTTGACGAAGTGATACAGAGCAGAAAATGTAGGCATACGATTATTGATTGAAGTGGCAGTGGCTAATTTGTCCAATATTGATATTGTAAAACTTTTACGAAACAATGATATGACACGATTACGTGTTATTGAACATGTTTTGTTATAAATATTAACATTTTTTCGAACAAAACTATTGTCAGAATCAGGGCTGGGCGAGTTAAGCAATTTCGAGTGTTTGCCTCATGCACGAAGTTTTCATCCTTCTGTGCATAAATTTTTAGAACTACCTATCGGTGATGATACAGTACATCTCTTACAGGGTTATGGTCATTTGGACGCCAAGTGTAATGGTTGTTCGACATCATCATTTATCGATACCCGATATCAGTGTGAAGAATGTGTGCCAAGCTTTGATTTATGCGATAATTACTTTGGAAAAAAGCACACACATCATAAATTCCAAATCGTCTCAAACTCACTAGTGCACGCATGGAATCAACAGGAACTAACAAAACAAACTCTTGATTTAGCAGGCTTGAACAGTAATCCTCAATGGTGCGACCCAGTAACTGGTTGGACCAAAGTCGATGCCGAACGTGTTCTAGAACAAGTTAATGCAGACGAAAAAGCCTATAAAACTCGTCTCGATGAAATAGTGCAGGCTGCCAATAGAAGCGCTGAACAGGAACGCCAACGTTTACAAGACACTATGGATTTTTCACGGAAAATGCAAATGCTGAGCTTACAAAACATGAAATTGATAGTTTATAAATAATATGACAAAAGTAACTGGTATCATTTTCTCATATTCTCGCGGGGTGTGGGTGGGTGTGGGTGTGGGTGTGGGTGTGGGTGTGGATGTGGGTGTGGGTATGGGTGTGAGTGTGAGTATGGGTGTGGCTGTGGGTATGGGTGTGGCTGTTGGTGTGGGTGTGGGTGTGAGTGTGGGTATGAGTGTGAGTGTGGGTATGAGTGTGAGTGTGGGTATGAGTGTGGGTGTGGGTGGGTGTGGGTGTGAGTGTGGCTGTGGGGTGTGAGTGTGCGGGTTGGCTAAGAGATGTCTCATATTCACACCCCATACCCACACCCCACACCCACCCACACCCACACCAACACTCATACCCACAGTCACACCCACACCCACACCCTCACCCACACCCACAGCCACAGTCACAGCCACACCTACCCTTATGCAGCTTGACGCGTTGGAGCGCATCCAGAATGCAACATTTTCGGGAGTCTGAACGCGTTTACAGTGAGCAAACGCGTCTTCATTCGTTCCAATTCTAACAGCATCGCAACTTGTTTATATCAAAAGACGCGTTGAGACGCGTCTAAAATGCAACAATTTCAGACGTGTGAACGGGTTCAAAAACCAAAACGCATCCAAACTCGTCTATGCTGAAGACTGGTTAGGACGCGTTTTGGGGCTTTGCTGCATTTGGATGCGGTATGAGATAAACGCGTTGTGATGCGTTTAGTTTTTTCCCAAAAAAAATAAAAAAATAATCATCACTCTAGGTCGGAATCAAACCGACTCATCATAGCGAGCTATGATATAACACTCAAATCCTGTGAACAATAGAGTGGTACTTTTTCCAATGATAGCTTGAACCAAGATTTGAATACACAAGCAGTCGATTACGAACCGAACACAACTAGCTCTGAGCTATACGCAGCTCGAACTTGTTTCAATATTTATTAATCGCATCATTAGTTCCTATAGCATTACTTATTACAACTTCGCGAACAGAACTGTCAATTTATTTTATTTTTACTTCGTGAAGTAAATATAAATAATATATTTATCGAAAAAAAATTAAGATAAATATATTCTTGATGTTTATAAAAAGATTAAAATAAAGAAATAAAAAGTTTTTATATTTAAAAAAAAATTAAAACTACAGAATAAACAAAATACCTAGCTCTACAATAAATAAATATAGAAATATGTGGTATAAATGCATTAATTAACGTTTTTGCTTCTCACAGTTAGCACCTCAACGCCCAATGTTAATAAAAATTGAGGACACTACAGGAAAAAATATGTGCGAAAATTCTTGTTTATGTACTTTTTTGTAATTATGATATCAAAATTTTTTTAGGTATTTTGTAGAATATTAAAATATTAGGTTTTAATTTCAAAATAAGCCGTCTTTTTCATTTAACTTTTTTATTTTTACGAATAAAATATCCATTTACCTTTTTCTTCTAACGTAAGCGTAAATTTAAAAAAATCAAGTATCTTTATGTATGTAAGTAATAAAATTCCGAAATGTATTTATCTTTATTGCATGAATCTAGAAGTTTTATTTCCAGTCATGTTTCATTATACAAAACAATAAAGATAAGTTAACAAGTCTATTTGAATAAAGTACTTGTGAAATTCAGATAAAATGAAATAGTTGAAAATAAAAGTAACATATTTATATGATTGATTTGCTTGCCTAGGAAAGAAATGGTTAAAGGCACAATAAAAACTTTAAAATAATAATCTACCATGTACGACGCATCCCTAAAATTTTAGAAGCAATGTAGAACAAGGTAAATGGTTTTGGGCAACAATTAAATATTTTCAATAAAAGATGTGCAAATAACAATCAATTATGAAATGCGCACTGATTCATATAATTAATCTACTAAATCAAACTCAACTTGATTAAATTTTAATGGTAGTACTGTAGTCTGAATGCTAAAATTCGATTTGATTCTAATAAAAAGTGATGATTCTTTTTGACTGTTTTGAGAATAAAGTAAACTCGTTTATTCCCTTGCAAGCGCCTGTAGATGTCGTTGGTTATCATCTACAATGTTCCGCTCTATTTATTTTCGTTCTGTTGCGCAGTCGATTGGAAAACACCACTCTAGAGTACGGCAACCCGACCCGACCCGCACCCGCACCCGACCCGCGGGTACGGACGGGTTCTGGTTTAACTTTGTCGGGTCGGGTCGGGTCGGGTACGGGTTTAATCTTTAAAATGTCGGGTTTTTGTCGGGTTAGATTTTTTTGCATAATGTATGCTCTTGCCCTCTAATCACGACATACATACGTTCGGAAACAAAATATCTTTCTGTAATTTCAAATTTGATTTAAATACATCTAGAAAAATCAATTTTTGGGTGTGGATGTGGGTGGGTGTGGGTGTGGGTGTGGGTGTGGGTGGGGGTGGG